GTCATCTGTGGGATGCTGGTGGTGGTCGCAGCGATCACTCTGGAGAGGCTGCAGTCGCTCAGAGGATGCCTGGGGTCCACCATGAACATGGTGTCTTCAGGAGCGCTGGTGGGAGAAAGGCCTTGGTGTCTCAGGCACATACCCAGGTAGGCGTCCTCGATGAAGATGGGTTTAATGTGAGGGGCGGTTGCCAGGATCTTGGCAGGCAGGTCCAGGGACATGACGTAGGCCATGCCCAGAGGATACGGCGGGTACTCCGACTCAGCGATCACATCTCTCGGCATGTAGAACTTGTTGAACGGGTTTCTCAAGACCGGGCTGTGCCACCACACCAAACCTGTCATGTAGTTCTGTTTGGCCGTGCTGGGATCCAGTAACAGTTTAACCAAGTTCTGGACGTGCAGCAACATATCAGCGTCAATCTTCATGACGTAGGAAAGCTTGTCGCAGCGTGCAACCAACCACTGCAGAGTCATCAGGGTCTTGATGGTCAGATTGTGGTAGCTGTCCTTGAAGTTACTCTGGATCAGGTCCTGGTGCTGCAGGTTCTCCTGTTGGAGCTTCTCCTGCTGCTGCTCGGCATCAGCTCCTGAAGGTAGGCCCAGTATGAAGAGAGTCTCGACCCGCTGACCCAGAACCAGTTTCTCACTTCCCCACGTCCTCCGGATGGTGTCCCGAGCTGCCACGCCCCCGGGGGCCACCGGGACCACCAGGAGCAGGAAGGGAGTCGTGGTTTTACACGTCGGGGTGTCGTCCATGATGACTTTGTAGTTTCCCGGGTAGGCCACGTAATACGGCCCAGGATCCTTCCATGCTGGTGCTGCCAGTGGCGCTGGGGGGTCCCTGCTCTCAAAGCCCCAGTCCGGGTCCAGATAGACGAGGAGTATTGCCACTGCTCCCACCATGCAGATGAAGACGAGTGCAAAGCGTCTGCTGCTGCTCTCCATTCAAACTACAAAGAGAAGAGACTCACGTTATGACAGATAGCAGCACGTCCCTCTGTTCAGACAGCCACACAGAACACATCATGCTTTCACTCATTATATATACTGTATATATATATGGGAGGCGTGTGGCGCAGTGGGTAGAGCGTTGGTGTTTGGATCAGGGAGCTCAGGTTCAAACCCCACTGCAGTCAGCATGTCGTTGTGTCCCTGAGACACTTCCCCCCAAAGTGCTCCTGTGGGGATTGTCCACAGTATTGAGTATGGAAGTCGCTTTGGATAAAAGCATCTAACATGTGACATGTCATGTAATGTAACATCTAATGTGACGTCACCCCATTGAAAGGGAAAGCAACGCACGCTGCCGTGTGGACGGGCCGTATCTGAAACTACTCTTTAATTGAATTGCTTTTTCCTATATTTGCACACATGTTATATACCATTATTAAATGCATACCCAAATAGATTTAAATGTCCTTGAAATGATTTTCATTGAAATTAAGCCGAAATAAAGTTTATTCTAAAATAAATTAAGAATAATCTGGCAAATGATGAGCAGGAATATAACATAAGGTAATAGTTTAAAAGATATGAAACCAGCAGCTCTGGTCCTTAGTGTGAATGAAAGGATGTTTAACACGGCTGTAAATTCACAACACTAGTAACACACTGCTTCTATGTGCACAAACTACACAGTGTCGACCGAAGAAGCATTTCACTCCACAGTCAATGAAACCAACAGGTAATGCCACTGATGACGGATCCAGCTTCATCCAAAGCAACGGTGTGAGGCTTTGAATAAAAACAGGATCCATGAAGTCAAACACAGAACTATAACGAACCTTCTAGCACCAGAGAAACACCAAAATGATCCAGTTAACACAGATCTCAGGTTAAAAACACCTATCGACCAAAGCACAGTGGTTTCATACTGCTGTAAGATCCCTCGTCTTTAAATCTGTGTTTCTTCACTTAAAGCAACTCTAGGAATGTGTGCGAAGTTCCTCTTTCATTAAAGCCTGCTGTAAGTGTCTTTAAGTGTAAACTGGCAGCTGAAGCTCGTCTTGAGGAGAAGTCCTAGTGGCAGCTAAATCAACAATAACAGCGAAAATCTAACAATAAAAAGTTAAAATAATATTCTGTGTTATTGTTTTAGGATTGCAGATTGGATAACGTACAAGGGCCTGTCTTATAACAAAATATGATCAAATTTGGGTACCTGTCGATGTTATTTTAGTCTTTTCAACTAATTTATTCTGAAGTTTTTTTAATAAATTGTTCCTAAATTCTGCAATTTTACCCTCAAATTGCAAATAAATCCTTTAAAATAACTAATAATGAGATCAATATAATCCTACTCCGTCTTGTTAGTAAGTTATTAATGTGTTGCCTTATATTATTTTTGAATGACAAGTTAAGTTATGTTTTATAGCTTGCCAACTAGCCTACAAGCTAACTATCTCTTCAAGCTAGCGATGTTTCTTGTCACTTTAGCTAGTAATTTAGCTTACTTCTTAGCAAGTGTGTAGTTCTAACATTGAGTTTGAACCTTTAAGTTCATCTATATTCTTAGTTTACAATATTCTTCTCCAAAAAATGTATTGAATTTTGATTTAATTCAGTTTTTTACAAGCTAGCATGACTCATCATAATTAGCTTTTTAAAATATTTTTTCTGATGCTATCTGTAAACACATGAAGTGGCACATTATCTCTGCACATTTTTCTAATTCTTATTCTCCATTTTCTTTACAAATGAAGTATTATTTTGGCATACAAGCAGGCTAGCTAGCTGTAAACGCAAACAGGCTAGTAACGGCACTTTAATGCAGCTAGTAATGTAGCTACTTTTCAAGCTAACATCACAATCATGGGGTTTCATTCTTGTCCATACTCCTAATTTCTCTCTATGATATGTACTTTATTTTAAATGTGTTGCGACAAGCTAGTTAGCTACCAGCTTGCTAATGTAGCTAGTTGTCTAGGTATGTTCTGGTGCTACCTGTAATGTATTTGACTCAGTCTTGACGGCACATTGTGTCCCCAGTTTTTGTAAATACCTTCACAAATTATGCTCTTTTTTTGGCACACTAGAAAGCTTTCTAGTTAACATTTACCCGCTTGAAAGCTAGTGATGGCGCTGTAATGCTAGTTGTCTTGAATAGCTAGTTTTCTGGCAAGTTCCGGCCTTTTTGCAAACATTGACACGATTTTGTTAATTTCTAAGAAGGCAAGCTTTCTGTTCTAAACATTTAAGGATTTATAAAACAATTTTGGCCATTATAAATAATTAATAGCAGAGATTTTTCTAATTTAAGTTCAGAGTTTGTTCCTTAAAAACTCAGCTATAAGCCTCAACAAGCTAGCTGCTATCTGAGAAGATGGGAAGAAGAGATAGTCAGTCAAACATCACCGCTGTTTACTGAAAACATCCCGTACAGCAGTTTGTATCGTAGCAACAACACCCACTTAACGTAAACTCATTTATTAATGGTGTTTAACAAGCTACTTTTAGCTAACGCTGTAGCACGCTATCCAATTGTGTTTTTAAGCAATTTTTTTGACTGTGAAATACCAGCACTCGTTTTTAATAATACCAAATATCTTGGAAGAAAATTGTTCAGCTAAAGTCGCTAACTTGGTCACTTTGATATTAATCACTTAGCTATAGCTTATGCTATTCAAATAATACTGTGATCTCCATCTGGTGAGTATCTACATTTGAGTGAAAAGCAGACCGTGATAATGAAGCTGCCAGATCTTCAAATCCACATAAGATATAAGATATATTATTCTGTGCTCACAAGTTATTAATGAACAGTAGAGCCAGGCATAAGGGTGAACAATTAGGGGAGATGATTTGTATTTTAAATTCCAGAAAAGTCAAAAGTCATGACAAAGTTGCTAACGCTAGTAGTCTGGATTTATTCGCATCTAAATCTGACTTTATTCTCAACATTTAGCAAAATAATAAGTTTCTTCTTCTCATGTTTTATTCTTATGCCTTCCCCGTAATACTTTTCCACATCACAAAGTGTGTGCCAAGTCATTTTTATAACAAGATGATGAGAAAATAAACCCAATTTCCTTTTAATCCTAACAATAGCCGGTGTTGTTGCTGAAATACAAACTGTGCTTCTCCCACAGCTCCAACTGATCTGACTTTTATTTTTAATATCTTACGCCCTGAAGCTGCACACATGTTTGATTCTGCGTATTCGCTTTTAAAGAGCTTCACTAAAACATGAAATTGATCTGAAACCAGCATCACTAAAGGATTTCAGGCAGCAGCAGCAGCAGAAGGAGAAGAAAGCCAGCTCAGTCTCCAGCAGAGATTTGTGGTTTAGATTAACATTATGTTGTTACAGCTTCGTACAGAAACTGCCTGTCAGTCTCTGCAGTTATAATACATAATCTGTAATATAGCTGCACCTTATTATCACAACTAAATAACAATAGACTCCTACTTACTGTACATACAGTCACACCTGGACAGAAACTCCTTAAATAGATGAATTTTGACCGACTCTTTGAAGCTTATCCATACTGAGGAATTGTCAACTATGCAGACGCTTTTAAAGTCTATTAATAACTCTTGTGTTTTAAGTAAGAAAGTTAATTCAAGCTGCTGAATATGAGAAGTGCATAGTCAGCAGGATGTAGTTAAACCTTCGGGACTTCCTGTCGCCGTCTGCAGGCTGTATATCACAGCAAGAACCAAAATGGCCGCCCAGTTGCAGCAGGAAGCCTGTTATAGGCAGGAAACTGATCTCCGGG